CGGGCAAATATTCACCCGGAGGAGTTTCAACGGTAAGGATGCGTCGTACGAGAAGGCGCGATATCGCGCGATATAATCGTTACATCCTGCGTGTGCGAGGGTGTGATACCACCTGTCACTGTTATAGATACGCTTCCTCCCCGAGAAATATGCATTGTCACATTTCGCTAATTGCGCGACCATATTAGCCTCGATTCCTGCCGCGCGCGGAGAGGTGCGTGTGCGTCTCTGCAGGACATGCATGCACGTATGTACGCACGTTGAAGGATCGCGCGCGACGCTCTCATGTCACTCCCTTCGCATGGGACGAGTGTATTTTATTTGACGGCCTCGCCTAAACGTCTTCTATTCCCGGTCGACGTCGACACGCGTGTCGACACGCCCGGAATCGAGCAGCGCATTCAATTTTAAAGCGCACGCCTGTTCCGGAAGTGGAATCGAGAGAGGTCCTTGGGGACCTACACGAGGTGTGTGCCGTCCTGTTTCCGATGCCTTACGCGAGCGAAATGTAAAATATATTTTTTACGCCCGTAATGGGAACGCCTTATTGAAACTTTTCTTCGAGGGCCACCCTATTTTAATCGAGAGACACTAGTTTCTTTATTATTCATTCCCGGGACATTCTTAGACATCGAAAACTGCGGGGAAACGAAACATCTATCAGTTATTAATATCATTTCGGTCGATTTTTCCAACTGTTCCTTCATCATTTTCATGCTACCTTGTTTTCACAAAATGAGAACTTTTGTCTGAAATCTTTTACCCACAATCGAATAAGTAAATTATTACAACCGCATTTCCCGCATAAGAATATTACATTTTCTTGTTCGCCTACACGCGACGGACAATCTCTCTTAAGGCCCGCTCTTTAAACGAGACATGAAAATTCTATAGAATCCGGCATAACGAGAATTCGACTCTCGTAACGGGGAACAGAAATGTTTCAATTACCCGCTCGGATGAAAACTGAAGGCGCGTACACGCCAGACGATATTCAGTTCCGGGGGAAAAAAGATGAAATCGTTCGAAACGCGTGCGCGTAAAAAAAAAAAAAGAAGCAAAGGTCCGTTTCGCTTTCATCGCTTTCCTGCTCGCGAAAAGGATCGAGGGTTTCGGTTTAAAGGGCCGCTTTCGACCGGAAAGTACCAGCGTCGTGGCAGACGCCGACGCTCGGCGGTTCGCAGCTGATTTCGATTGAATAATTTATGTTTCATTACTGGGGGGCCAAACGGGGGTCCGAGCTTATAGACGCCTCGCAAACGCCACTCGCGTTCCGGAGAAAAGGCCTCGGCTAACATCGCGCCGGTTGAATCGGACGGCGAGCCTTTCATATATTTCCTATAGGCATTGAGGGCAACGTGAAAAGAATTTTGTATCGAGGTTATTGAGGGGCGCTCGCGTCCGATAGTACGGCGGGCACGACGATGGCCGGCATCGATGCACCCTAGTTGCGAGACATGAAGGAATTCGTGAATGTAACTGTATGTAAGTTGAACGAAACCCTTAAAGCTGTGCCGAGAGAGAGACTGCGGCTTTCTCGAAAAAATTCTTCACGTCTACTTTATTGCTTTCCTTTTTACCCAAGTCGCGCGACTTATACTTCGCCGATCGACGAATTAAAGTTTCTGTTGCGTACATGACAGGGAATTATTAATCGCCGTGACCTGTAATTACACAGGCATACACACAGGATGAAGAATTTACGGGAATTTTCTATCGACGCGCGAAGATTAGCATTTTCATGTTCAATTGATGAACAAAGTGACAAAGATACTAAAGCCGCGGAATAAAACATGATAAGTTAAGATGCATCAGGGGAACATCAGTGGGAAGATCGTCTAATAAAATATAGAACTCGATTCCCTTCTATCCTAGCAACGAACGTTGCGTCATGAGAGAGCTACAATCGACGCACTGCATCAATGTTTCCTAACACGATCAAAGACATCGGATATTCTACTCTAAAGCCCAACGATTCCCCCTATTCTCGTTTATTTCAGGGAATTACGGATAACACCTATAGATACTATTTATCTATCTGCAAACGTCTGGACCACGAGAAAGCCTCGAGCCCGAAGCGACTCGTCAGCGACTACGATGTATGTAAGAGAGAATTTAAAGAGGAACGATGATTCCGCGTTGCGTTTAACCCGAGAAATCCTAAGTTCCTTCCGACCCTCTCGAGGTTGCACCAAGCTAGGTATGCCGTGATTTACCGGCTGAAATTTGAGTATCACGAGGCACGCGAAATGCGTATCGCAAATCCAATATACCGTTCGCGGGGGTTCCCTCTATTGGCTGGTCATAATTCACGCCGGGATTCCGTAACAAAAGGAACGCGTGTACGCGCACGTATCGAAACACCGGTTTATACCGCCGGAGATTTGTGAAAAGAATCCGTTTCTATCGATCCACGTTGTAATCTTGAGCGAACGCACGAATATCCGTGTGTTTCAAGAATCAGGTCAATTTAGCAGATATACGGAAAAAATAAACATTTCGCGGAAATGTCATATAAAATGTATAGTAGCATCAAATCAATGAGAAGCAAGCTTCTCGCTATCAAGACAGTTCAGATACATATGCAGCAAATACAATAATTATATGAGTAGCAAATATAGACACATATATATATAAAGAGCAAATATTGCACATATCATAAATATATAACAGCATATATAATCGACATAGTGCCGATTTATGAGAATAAATGATTTAAAAATATATCATTTGATGTTCGCGTCAAAAACCGTAAATAAATGACACAACTTGTGAGTCGAAATTTCGATTCTACATTAATCTTGCAGAATTCTTGTTGAAGGAAAAAATAACTGTAAGGACAAAAACTCGACAAAACTGTCCAGCGAATATTCAAAAGCAATAAAATTTCAAAACCAATAAAATTTAAATTCAGATTCGATATAATAAGACCAAATAAGAGTGAATAATGCGCTTGGCAAATTTAAAATGCAACTTACAATCCACGAGATATTATTAGATACACAAATCATTACTCGCGAGGCTTATAGTAGAGATGAAATTTCGGCTCACGAAATGTTGATGCATGAATAAAAATTCGTACGTATTAATTCTTAATATCAATCTGATTTCATCTGTAGATAATTGAGAGTCTGCATACGCAGACTCAATCTCAACCCGAGAAAATGATAAACATTTCAAATATAATCGTGGTATCACGTAATCTCTATAAATAATAATCAGATATTTACGGTTTCGAGCAGTAGTATATATAACTACAATTGCTCATAATGTGAAAAATCAATGCGATTTACGTCTACATACTCTACGTAATAAAATGCTTTGCAAGTATATTAATTGTTCAGTTACTAATACGCGTTAAAACTTGCCAAAACTCAGCGTCCGGCAGCGTCCACAGCATCCTCGACATCCTCAGGATCTTCAGTCCTCTGCAGAGTCGTCCCGCGTTGATTGCACTTCACTCGCGTTATTGCACTCGCGACGCGATAATTTTAACGATGAAGCGAAACGTACGGTAAAGTCTAACGCTTTCATATAACATCCTCGCGACATGCGCACAAAAGAGTGGGGAAAACGACGTATCAAAGACCGCGAGGCTAAAGTCAAGCAACGACAAAAGAAAGCGTTTTATTTCGCGCACGATTGTACTTGTCGAAAACGAAGTTTTCTATTCAGAGATTCTATTCGCAAAGACTCTAATGCTTAAGTCAAACGTATTTTATCATTACGCATATCGAGCTCGGCAGTCATTTTGTTTTATCTGTAACGGATTTTGATCTCATTTCAACACTCACGCATATTCGCGACGCGAATTAAAGAGCGATCGCGCCGAACGCGAAATCTGTCAATGCGATAAGCGGACGAAATAATCGCGAAAAAATGGCGTGAAATGGTCACGCCGATGGCTTCGCAATTTTTATACGAAGACTACTGCTCTGCGGCATTGCGCAGAAATCACCCCTCGATATATTTGAGGAGCATACTCCGCAATATTTATGCGAAGTTCGCTTGCAAAGTATTACGACAAAAGTTAATTTAAACGAGATGCGCGCGTTTGGAAACTAACGAAAGCTATCGCGAAATCTATCGCATATATATGCGAGCAAAATATAACCGAGTATCATAAAATGCATATTACTTTGTCGAATATAACAATGACGCGAGCGCACATATAAAAACCGAGAATGAAAAGTCACGATGATAATCGTAAAATCTATATTAACGTGTGAATGAGCGAGCTCACCGCGACGCGTGCAAAAACAAAGTTTCGCACGGCATTCTACGAGTAAAATTAAAAATTAAGCTTTTCAGCGATCACGAAATCAACGCGGCCGCGGTTCAAATAATTACTAGATCGCGTGAAATCGTGTTAATTACTTCGCGATATGATGATGACGGATTTAATAAGGTTAGAAAAGACGAAAATCATGATCGCAAAATTTATTAAGGCAAGAGAAAATACCGCGAGTTTCGTGAGTAACGACGCGATTCCTTCACAATGTACTTCGCGTTATTTCAATGTCGAATCTTATTCGACAACATTCGGATAATGTCCGACAATAGAACTGTTGAACGAAACAGTGATATAAACCAGTACAGTGACAAAAAACATTCTGTAGACTTTAACGTTTCAATATAATAACAGTAATATATAATTTATGTAATATAACAGTAATATAACAAATTTATGATTACTAATATAGACTTCATTCAATTGTACCTGAAAATATATTTTTAATAGGAAATTTTATGCGAAATTTTTGCAGATATTTTCGCTCTTCAAAACAAGGAAAATACGATTTATATCACCTGCTTTCCGCACAATCGTTCATATTTATATGCAAAATTGATATGCAAAAAATAATATGTAAAAATCTATTATCAAAGTAAATATCGCATTGATTTTTCACGATATTTTGAAAACAAACTCACCATCAAAATCATCAAGAAACTCTTTAGTGACCATCACCTTAATAAGTGTTTACATTTCTTTGACTCACGGTAACGGACGATCTGTAACAAAAACAATTTGTCCTCGTTAGATTCAGAGAATGCTGTTTAACGCATGATACATCTGTACCAGCAGATATAGATAGATTTTAATCCTTTGCGGTCGTAATTCGAGTCATTCTGACTACATTTTGGCTTTTAACCACAAAGGATTAAAGGAGGAGCAAAAAGATATATTTGTCAACCTACCTTTGAGCTGAACCAGCTCTGCCCGAACCGGATCCTCCGGTGCGGCATCTGGTCCACCGAAACTGCCACTGCTTCCACTTTACGGCCGCAAAGTCCGCTGAATATGTAACAAAAATTGATTAGTCCCCATGTAAAGAAAGGAAAGTTATTTGATATGGAGTCTCAAGAGTATGATGTTTAACCGCAAAATATACATGTGTTTCTTTCTTAATCCAAATATGGATGAATCGATTACGTAATTCAAGTCATTTTCAACTATATCTCGATTTTTAACGACAAAGGATTAAAGAAGAAAAGGAATATAAGGATATAGTATTTGATCTACCTTCCAGCTGACCCCGTTCTGCCCGAACCGGATCCTCCGGTGCAGCATACGCGTCCACCCAAGTTGCCATTGTCTCCATCGTGTGCAAAAAGTTTGCTAAATCTGCAACAAAAAGATTATTTGCCACGTTAGATGTAGTGAACGAAAGTTGATCAGTCCTGATATAAAGAATATAAAGTTATTTGATACAGAAATATTAAGAGTATGTTCGGCCGTAAAATATATCTAAGTTTTTTTCTTAAGTTTAGTGAAACTAAGATGCGCTAATCACCTTTTAAAATTCAATGTAATGTTGGTGCTCCCGATAATCGCGGTACGATAAATAGACGAACGAAGTAACGAGCGTTTCAATCAAGTTGGAATAATTAAAAATAATGCGCGACGCGCGATGTGGCCCTTTCCGCGTCACAGACTGTTATGATCTCGAATGAATGACGTATCAATATATACTAGTCGTTCCCAAACACGCGTGACCTCAGGCGCCTCACTCAATGCCGCGCGAAGTTTCGGCATGCTTGTTATTGTTTTCCCAACGACTTGACGCACACGCATAGTAACGTCGATACACTGTACATAATGTTACAATATTCTATTGCGTTTATGCGTATTTCGATAGCATTTTCTGCATTTGATTTATCATCGTGCAGCTATTGTGCGTGATGATCGAGATTGAATAATTATAAATGCCTTTATCTTTAGGATATTTACGATATAATCGTAAGACACTGTTATAAATATGAATATTACAATTTTTCAGAGTCATTACGTGTATACACATCGCTTGACACGGATGGAACGTTGGAAAATACGCGACAAAAATGATTATTATTATATGAGAAATTAAATTCTCCTATAATTAACAGTCTCCTTCGTTCCCGCTCTCTTTGATAGCGTTTGTTTAATTGTCCGCGTATCTCGGGATATCTATAATCGCGATGCAATAACGAAAATGCAAGGGGGGTGTCTAAAAAAGGATTTACGGCATCAGAAACAGCCATGGGCTGTTTCTGCGTTATTTTGAATGTAGCAAGACCGTTTGTTACTGCGGTACATTTCGCGCTCGATTAGTGGCGAAATTCCGACGACACCGATAAATCCCATGATGCGCCGCGTTTGCTCGCGGTAACAACGCGAAACAAAGCGCAATAACATTCTCTCGATATTGCCGGGCACGATACGTCAGCGAGCGGTCACGCATGAACGGAAATACGAGATCCGAGATACTGATTCCTCGAAGCGGCCTGGCGCGCGTTCGTTGCAATCATAACTTGCGCAATTTAGGGTCGGCCGTTTATGCGGAATCGGACGGGAGCACGCTGACGGGGGGGGGAGGAGGGACTGATGTCCGCTCGAACATGTCGATCTGAACAGCCGTTCAAATCAACAGCGGCAATTCGCAGCTACCCCTTTCTATCGGGGAGTCAGCGAGCCGTTTTGCATGGAGCTTCCAGTCGATAAGAAGACGGTCGGCTAGCGACCCCTTACCTCTTAGCACGGGGTATCTACCCTACCGACTCGCGGAGGATGTGCGAGCACATCCCCTGCGAATATACCGGATTAATCTCCTGCGAGATATTCGAGGATATCGCCTTGTATGATGATGCGCGAATACGTCGCGATATCTTCATGAGGCAAAAACGCGAAACGGCGAAAAGACACTTCGGAAATTTCTCTTAAACACGGGCGTTCGATAAAAGACTGTAGTTTTACATAATCCTGCATAATCCTCTCGGTGCGATTTTCCGAGAAAATTGGCGTACGAGGATCTTGTGATCTAGATATCACAATCTCCACCTGAACTGAGTGTGGTAGGATGTAAAAATGACGAGTCTCACACGATATTGCATTTATCCCCTAATGGTGTAACTAATTAAAGCGCTACCGCCTCAGCTGGTCAGAGTGAAAAGATTCTGGCGCGATATCCTCGCGTACGCTGGAAAATGACGGGACACGCGCGTAAATGGCTCTAAAAGTTTGATTCGTTCGATCGTCATTATGATTACGGGGTGCAAATCGCGCGACATAAAACTACAACACGAATCAGAACAAGCGGCGAGTATGAGAATATAATCCGCACCGGCGGACTACGCTCGGCGGCCAATTTGTCGTAAAAAGCGTACGTTTCCCCGCCTATCAAGCGATAGAAAATTTCCAAAGCGCAGTATGCGATTCGCAATTCGCTCGACCGACTAACGTGCGCTCTTCGCGCACGTCCACCAAAATATAGAATAGCGCCTGTTTGTTCACGACTGTCGTCGTGAACCGCGTACAAGGACGACAGTTAAGGACAGTTAATCTAGCATAACCGCGAATATACAACGCGAATACCGATATCTAGCGGCGTGTTGGTGTCTCGTCGCGTCCGCTAATGGGTGAGGGCCACCGTTGCACGAGCACTCTCGCTCTGGGAAATGTTAACGAGCCTTTTTCGTGTCCCCGATGCATTGGCGGTTATCGTTTCAACTGCATTATAGATTACGCGCGGTAAGGCAATAATAATTGCAATCATTATGCAAATATCTGGCAGCCACCCCTCGTTACACGCCGAGGTACTTTAGCTCGCTAAACCACGAGACTACCGAGCAGCTTACGCGCGCGCACTCACACACCACACACACACACACAGACACACATTGGTCGTTGGGTGTCCTTTTTCTCGAGTATGTCGGCAATTCGAAGTGTGCGCGACGCATTGTTGCGGACTGTTCGGCAGAAAGCTTTGAGCTGCGAAGAATGCCCCGGCGCCGAAAAGTGCCGCGCATATTTTCGGCTTTCGACTCCCGACGCGACGGAGTTTCAAGAACAACAATAACACAAACGCTTGTCCCGTATCACTCGCAGGCGGCGCGAATTTCCCCGTGAATATATCTCTCCGAGAAATAGCTCGACATTTACAGTCTTCGGAAAGCTACATCCCCAAATCGCCGATCGTCAGCCGCGTCAGCCATCTCCTCGAGAAATCCTCCGCGATTGTCTACCAGAGACCACGTTAATTCATCTTCCAAGGAAACGATGTCCACGCGCGCACGATGAATCGGTCCGCGCAATTACGGTGACATTTTTCGGAACAGGAAATAATCAAAATGTTCCCCGCCGACTGTGTGTGCCCACACTTCGAATTGCCGACATACTCGAGAAAAAGGACACCCAACGACCAATGTGTCTCTGTGTGTGTGTGTGTGTGAGTGCGCGCGCGTAATGGTTTCGCGACGCGCACCTTCGACGCGCCCTCAGTGACAGAATCGTTCGTTGAGGATAAATCGACACGCGGCCACGGGCCATTCGTTCCCGTCGACAAAAACGCATCTGTCCATTAATGTTTCGTATTCCCGTAAGATACGACCCCGGGGACGCGATTCATTTATATGACCCCACGCATACACGGCATGCCAATACCCGATCGTTACCTCCCCGTGATCGTTTATCATCCCCGCACGCCTACATGCGCGTGCTCGCTGCGGCGATAAAGGGCGTCCTTGCGTACGATTGACCGTGCCGAACACGAGGCGACATGTGTGTTTTGTTCGGTCATTCGCAGCGTTTCTCAAGAAATGCATCTTTTCGCGACGTCTGGATATTAAAATGACAAGTCAGCGATGGTCGATATCCACTGAGTCTGTCAAATTCGTGAAAACTCGGCAGCGATTTTACTGTCGAAATAACGTCGACGGACGTCATAAATCTTGTCATAAATCAAGTATTCGTTCGCACGCTTGAGCGCACTTAAATTCGAGCAAAACGCTCGAGAGTCGGTCGGAAATTGCGCGATGGAGATGACTCTTGAGATTACATCAGCACGATTCGGATACGCACACCCTAATTCGCTTCGTTCCCCGGCACGATACGTTCGCAATAAAGTAATTGGACGCGAGTTCGCCAAGGTGTCGGCGACAATTGATACAGAGCGGCCGATCGCGGCGGCGATTTGCGGGAGCACTCGCATTTAATAAGATCGAGCGGCGATAAAGTGCGAAAACGGACGCGCTTCCGGCCATGCGTTTGGCTTTGGTTATTGCCGCGCTTTGTTCCTGATTTACGCGCGCTCGCGCGCATGCGACTTCTTCATCCGCCGACTACCTGAATTCGATTCATTAGCGAGAGCGCTCATCGCATTTCCAATAGGTGGACCATAAATTTCGTCCTTATCTACACTTGCTTGTCGCGGGAGTTCTACGAGCGAGCGTCGACTTTAATAAATTGAAAAATCACGCTATGCTTCGCGGGGGCTAGAGGATCTCCGAGGTAATATGACTCCCTGACTTACGACGGTCCGTTATCATATCGCGGTAACGAATATATTCCATTACGTGACAACTGCGCGCGTGTATGCGTATGAGATAGCGGAATGAGGGAGGGTGGAAGGAAGGAAGAGAGACGGCGAGCGAGAGAGAAAGAAAGAGAGAGAAGCAGGGAGGTCCGGAGGGGCGGGTAAGAATCTAGAATATATTTAATCAGGATCGTCTCGTAATTAGGGTAAAACATTTCTGAACGACACGTGTCTCTCCCTAATGAAGATGTAGATACACGTCGTCGGCATATCGCGCGATCGACGGATTTCACGCGAATGTCGAAATTCCATCCCCTCAATCTATTCATTATTTCCACGATACTCAGGTATATTAAATCTTTTTATAACCAATGAATATACTCTGCTAAAATTAATTCTCGCCACGTTGTGACGTCCTGATGTATATTGCGTTACATGATCTTTGCTCGATGGAGCAAAGATCGACAACTACCGCTTCAACGATTATTATTAATTAATGTTGTAAGCGCGTTCGTACGATAAGTAATGTACAGCAGTCTGAAAGTTCTATTACGTTATTACGAGGTGTTATACAAATTCGGAAAATCGAAGGAGGGTCACCATGGCGAATTAATGTTTATTCCTCGCAAATGGAGCCGCTTCTATTTTTCGAGTCGCTTTCCCGACGTGGAGCGAACGCTAAACGCGACAGGGCTCGCGGAGGGACTTGCCGAAAAACGCTCTCATATTTTTCCATAGGACCGAATAAATATATGCGGATACGTCGGAATTTCTCGTCGGGGCAGAATGAAGGGGAGAAACAGGCGGAGGCAGACGTGCCGCAGTCAGATAGCGG